CACACCCAATCGTGCCTGTGAGTTCATGCAGCGCCAAAGTCTGATACCAAGCCTCTTGCATGCAAAGAGCACACTCCAGTTCCAACAGAACTGCCTTCTCTAAACTGGGTTGAAGTCTTTACATATTTTATTTTAAAAAATATTTTATTTAAGCACTTTATTTCATCTTTACAAACATCCTCCTCATTTCTCACGCTGGTAGAGTCAGGCTCTGCAAAACCAGTGCTTAATGTGTCCACTGACAATAAATGAGTCAATCATCGGTGATCCCTACAAATCGAAGGCACTGACCTCTAGGGAGTGAGTTGCCTGCCACTAGAGCCATGGCTGCAGAACTTCCTGACCATAGGCTGATGATGAATGTGGGTGAAAGGGACAGATTGAGACATGTTCGGGTTAAAATGGTATTTAGAAATAAGTAGCTAAGCTTGGATTTCTGAGAATGAGAGTTTGGTAAAAAATAAGTCAACAGAAAGCAGTTATTTAGAAAAATACATCTATTTCAAACATCTAAAAGATAGAACGCCTACTCGATATGTTTCTGTATGTTTGGATCACTGTGGACTAATTTAGTTTGGATACCTTTAGAAGATTCTAGTACTAAAGCCAAAGAATGCCTTTGTGGGCACCAAACCTGGCAGTCCAATCTCCCAGTCATGGTGGCCTGCGAGGGCAAGGAGGAATGTAGAAGGACCCAACAGGCGCAGAGAAGGCAACCCCTGCACTCAGGGCTGCAAAGGCAGGATGATTCATTTGTTTTGTGAAAATGTCAGTCTGAACGTGCTTTTCTGAGGTGCTTGAAGCTCCTCCTTCCCACCTGGACACCCGCCAGTTAAGCATGATCAGTAGGTGCCAGTGCCCTCCTGCAAGATTAAAGAGGGGGAGAATCAGATTTATTAAACGGGTAAAGGACTGTCATGGGGAAGAAGAATTTTGCTCATCCGGAGCACTCCTCAGGGCAAGACAAGATTCTCCCAGTTCAGAATGAAGAGGGAGACTTCACCGAAGAAGTTCTCTTCCCACAGGACCATCCAAACACACAGGTCTGGCCCACCTCTGAGTGGTCAGCTCCACCCCTGCAGGGCTGGGCTTAGGCCCTGTGGGTTGATCCCTGGTGGAACATCAGACCAGCTCTGCTCTGGTCTTTGTAATGCTGATGTTTTATGGGTCAAGACACTTTCAGCAATTCCACTTTCCTGCGGAGAGAATTCCTTCCTAGAGTAAAATAACCCAAATAGTTAACTTCCAGGAAGCAGGAGGGTTGAGTGCAGACCTTACACACTTGATCCAGGATTTAAACTTTAGATCTGCCTGCTGACTGGTTGAATGACCCAACTCTCAAGTGTTTTCATCTGTGAAACTACAATCTCTTCTCACAAGATTATTAAGAAGCTAAGTGAGGCTATTACAATGCCAGGCAAAGGATTTGTACTTAAAATACGGTATTATTAGTGTGGGGAAGAGCCCTTTAATTAGATGCTAAGGTGCTAAACACTTGCCTCATCACCCCATGAATTGTTCTGCTTAATAGATGCTACAGTCTGGGAGAGTTCCCAGGACATAGGTAGAAGCACTGAGCAAGAACAAGAGGAAGCCGTGAGGAGCAGAAGTTGGCACAAAGGGAGAATCAAGAAGCAGGAACATTTTCAGTTTCCTAAACTATTCTAAATATACACCTGCTTGCTTTGATGAAAGAAGTCAAGAGACTCCCATCTGGTTAGAAAATAGTCCGGTGATGAGAAGCGAACCCTCCAGCAGGAATCTCCATGGAGTGAGGGATGCTTTGAAGGTGAATGCTAATCTCCCGGGGCTGGGTGGAGAGGGTAATCTGGCAGTCTATAGCATACAAGAATTTTAGTTATTCACCACACTATAATCTCGAAGGAGGAGCTGCTATTTCAGGTGCAGGAAGGAAACCGTTGGCATTTTGCAAAAGTTACGTTCCAAACACCAGAGGTCTGCAGAGTCAGGAAAGCTCAGTGAAAGACACGAGCTCTGCCACTGGAGAGGAGGGCGACAGAGTCTCCAGCATCCGCACTTCAGCATCAGCCTTTTCACTGGAAACATCCATAAAGTTGTCAGTGGCTTCTAAGGAACTGCAAACTAATGCACGTGGGGGACTCCTCCTCCTGGAGGCTAGACCGTGCAGGAGAGATTGCCTTTCCAAGGGCTCTCTCAGCGGGCGGGTTTTCCTTTTAATACCCAAAAGAACTACCACTAACAATCCAAGAGTTGGAAACAGAAGTTGATGAACTCAGGCCTTCCACTAAAGGCAGAGTAGCACTGTAGCACTGTCCTCCCATTGTTCATCGATTTGCTCGAGTGGGCCCAGTAACACCTCCATTGTGAGACATGTTGTTACTGTGTTTGGCATATCGAATACGTCACGAGTAGCTTGCCAGGCTTTGCCGTGCGGGCGAGATACTCTCGGTAGCTTGCCAGCCTCTCCTAGAGGGGCGGAGGAATTGAACCTGGGCCAACTGAGCCAGACGCGTGCAAGGCAAACACCTTACCCAAAAAAGTAGGCAAGTCAACATTTTTATGGTATTACCAAGCCATGATGGAGAAAAAACAAAATAGCTTGGCGGGGAACCTGCACTGAAACTTGTTCTTTAGGAAAGTGTGGCTTGACCTGTCATGGTACCACGGCTACAGCACTCTAGAAATGGCACACTTAGCGGGACAGATGAGTGGCTGGCCCTGGCTGCTGGGGTTGGGGGAATGAGAAGTGGTTGAGGCTGGAAGGCCATCCTAGAAGGGAGATGTGTGATGGTGCTGCTCTCTTTCAGGGCTCCGGGTGGGGCAATGTCACGTGGCACGTTACATCCAGACACACGCAGAGTGTGCAGAACTGACAAACCTGAGCAAGAGACTGGACCTTATTCCATTTTAATTCAAGATGGCACCGCGGGTGGAAGCAGTGGAAGGGAGCAAGAGATCAGGCTCACTCTGTTGCTTCCTACAACACTGTGTATTTTAAATGATCTTAACACTGAAAATTACAATGGGAGGATGCAAACATTATGAAGCTGTTCCCCATGTCCCATGTCCTGCAAAGGTCAAAAACGGGCTAGCTTTGTGTGGACACTCAAGTTAATGTAAGAAGATATAGTTAAGGCATTAAAGAGCAAGGGTCTCAGTGGGGAACCGGCACCTCATGGCAGCAATTTACAGTTTTGCCTTTCAGTTTTGCCTCTGAAGGGCACAAAGGACCCCCCAGGAATTCAGCCACAATCTCAAGCTTTTTGAAAAAAAAAATCACAATTTTCACAAAGTTGCACATCAAGAGTGCAGATGAAAGTGTTATGAAGGTAAATTAGTACCTGTAAAAATGACATGGGTGTTGTATTGTTCCCAACTGGTTTCTGATTTCTGTGTGTGTGTGTGTGTGTGTGTGTGTGTGTGTGTGAGAGAGAGAGAGAGAGAGAGAGAGAGAGGAGAGAGCGAGTTACCACACAGCACAGCAAGTTCCAGTTCGAGCTGCAGCTCTGACAAATGCCTTTGTGATAAAGAATCTTTAAAATGAAAACTGATGTACTTGCCTAAGGAATTTGGCAGTGCATCCGGAGAGCTGTACGCCGGATCAGGGTGGATAGGCAATGCATAATATATCACTGCATTTCCTCCACGAGACCCCCGGCACATCTTAGGGAGGTTTGCTCAGTGCATGATGCTGGTGAGACAAATGGCCTCAGAATATGAACAGGAGTTTTTTCTGTTTTTCCTTTTCCTGTCATTTCTTAGCTTTATCCAAAAAGATAAGCTAAGAAAAAACCTAAAATTTCTACTTTTGTGTGAATTCCCAAGGTTATACAACTTTCATTTTAGCACGTAAAGGCAGGTGGGTGAGCAGCAGACTGGCGCCTGCCAGGCCCCACCTCAGGCGAGCTCTCCAAGTGGGCCCTGTTTGGATCAACAACCAGTGACAATGAGGGGGCATCGTGTTTTGCAGAAATGTTACATGATTTCAGTAACACATCCAAAATAAGCGTAAGGGCTTTAGGTTGTTCTTTTTCAGAAACAGCTTTTGATGGCTGTTCCTGAGCATAACTATGTTCTATTTTCTATAACCATTTTTATGACTTCCCATCTCCTTTTTGTCATTTACAAAACCTGCTACTCATGCCAGGCTTTCATTCATCTCTTCTTAGTCCTGTGTGGTGGGCACGTGCCTCTGAGACTCCCCTTCCTTCTCTGGTCCCAAATAGACAACACAGTTACATATCTTTCTACGTACACACCCCAGACACAGATTTATCGAGAGAACACGAAATTATTGTGTCTAGCATGCGAGCACAAACTCACACAGACATGGACATAAATACTTCAAGGCAAAGAATGACCCCCGAGAGAAGGGTTTCGGTAAGAATCAGACAGCGCGACATCATTAGCACACAACCCCCAGCGATCTAATCCTACAGAGCAGAATCTTGAAAGGGAAAGACAAGATTCCTCCTTAACCATCGCAAGGCAAGGAGCCGTGGGGGAGAAATCCCAGGCCCTGACTTCTGCGTTTCCTTCCTCCAGCCAAGCTCTGCTTCTGTGCTGCTGAGGTTGCCCCAGGAAACGAGAGTCGTACATTTCCACTGGTGCCATAAGCTCCACTAGAAGCCACTTTCTCGCCTTTAATTACCAGATAACCAGACACGTACTTCCCAGCAGGACGAGCTGCCGGATGCTAGGGGCGACTTCACCCCAAATTTCAAGTCGCATGGATGAGTGCTAGCTCTAAACTGCTTGGACGGCTTCTTAAAAAGAGGAACACACCATATTTCTAGGGAAGCTCACTCATGATTTGGATTTGGAGCCTCGGCATCTGAATGCAGTGTCGCTCAGGAGAAGAGTGAAGAGCAAATATCTACATCTTAGACGAGAGGGAAGGCGCCAGAAGGGGAGGCACTGCAGAGAGTCTCCTGCAGAGCAGGGGTTTGGGTGATGAGCCCGACAGCGCAATTCCTTCCGGGGGCCCCCGGAGAAAGAGAACCTGGTGCTGGGAATACCTTGGTCACTGCGGTGATCTGCTCCAGGGCGTCCGTGTGCAGACTCTCGTCCTGGCTCTCGAGGAGAAGCTTCAGGGACGGGAGCAGGAGGGACTGGCTCTGCAGCAGCTTGCTCAGCTCCTTCACACACTGAAAGCACAAGCGCAGAGAGGTGAGGGGGGTCGCAAGAAGCGCGCCCCGGGCCCTCGGCCCCTCCCCAGGTGGCTCCCCATCCCCTCCCCACAGGTGTGTACACCTGCCTGCATACAACACCCAGCAGGAGCCCCGGGATTTCCCTGCTTCCGGTTCCCCAGCTCAGATGTTCATCCACACCCACTGTAGTGCTTTGGCCGGCAGCATCATTTCCCAGGCCGGATAAAGGACTGTCACATGGTGTCCTAAGTGCCCTGAGCCCTAATTTTGCCAGAAGCGAAGTGGCAGTAAATGTAATTTACTTTGCAGAGTTTTTGTGTATGCATGGATATAAGTGTTAATGAATAGTGGTTTACAATGCTCAGCATATGGTGGGTGCCCCATAAACAATGAACCCTATCCTGCCTTACGGATATTCTCTTTAAGATCCAGGTATCATCACTTCAAAGGAAACCACTGGCTTAAATGATTATTTCTGATATCAAAGTGAAGAAAGCTTGACATGCTTAAGATAGTCCATCTTCATGAAAAATAGTTCAGGAAAACAAAAACGCATTTCCATCTCCTGAGATAGGGTTGAATTTCACTGAACTCTTTATTATACTATCTGAAGCTGTCATCAGAGAACTTTTTTTTTTTTAATATGAGCTAACACATGACACTCCTTCACAACAAAAGTATAAGAGAATAAAAAGTCAGCTGACAAGAGAGTCCTCCCTGTCAAGTTGGTGCAACCCAGGCTCTTGGCTTTATTGTCACATTAAAAAAAAAAAAAACTTGGACAAAGGCGCCTACAGTGAATGCCACCTCATTATACAAGCGAGGGTTGTTTTCCAAAGAATTGGGGTTTGGTATCCTCTGAGGGGCTGAGGAGTCATGTATCAGAGAGAAAAAAAAAACCCAAATGTATGCCGTTTTTACATTCCTTTAAATTGCTACAAGCTGTAGATAAAATACAGATGACACAAAGACACTCCTGTGGAAAGCTTTGGATACAGGTCTCTTTGGAATTCCACTTGTTAATGGGTTTTGTAAGTGTTGTCTCTGCTGGAAACCAGCACAGCGTTCTCAGCTCACACTGAAGGCTGTGCTACCTGAGAAAACAATCCGGAGAGCAGGCTCCACACAGCTCTGTCGACTACGTGCTCCCAACAGGCGGGGTTCCAAGGCAGCAGAGGGGTCTGCTGCATGGAAACAAACCCGGCATCTGGGCCAGGGAAACCTGCGGTTTTTCACCTGGGGTGCTGGACCCTGCAGACAGCATTTAGGAAAGGCTGAAACGGACCCCGCTGGGCACTGGGTCCAGCTGCCACAGACTACTTGTGCCTGTGCCCGATGCTGTGACAGAGCCAACTCCCCTCCCCACACATCCTGGGAGTGAGCCCCAGGAGCCTGTCCGCCATGGTGCAGAGTTCTGAAATGTGGTGTCTAACAAGACAGCCTCTAGCCACAGGTGCTGGTAAGCATCTGAGATGTAACTAATGCCTTACTTAAAAAAAAAAAAATTACTATGATTTACAAAGCTGCTGACAATGTATTTAGGCATCCAATGTTCCAACTCCAACCCAACTCCAACACTAGCATCCCTCCACCAACGACCCACGGTTTTCTCCTGCTTTCCACCCCACCGCCTTGGCAAACTTTTCCTTTTTAATGTGCTGATTATAGTTTGGATTACATGCTTACACTAGTATTAACTCTTGTGATTTGGATACACATAGATTTCTCACCTTCACATCACTTAAATGCCCAAGATCCTTGACTAATACTTAGAAGTTGTCACAGGTGGTTACTGCATTTTAAATTTAGCCCCCTTTCATTTAAGTTGAATAACCACTCATGGGCAGTGCCTAACCATGCATTCACCAGGCTGGTGAACGCAGCTGCAGTGCCCAGTCTTCTCAGAACCATATAAGTGTGTGTGTGTGTGTGTGTGTGTGTGTGTGCGTGTGTGTGTATACGTATATATACATACACTCTCTCTCTCTCTCTCTCTCTCTCTCTCTCTCTCTCTCTCTCTCTCTCACACACACACACACACACACACTATTCAATTTCTTCCTAAAATAGCAGGAAAAGCCCATGTCCTGCAAAGCTGCCTCAGATTTCATGGGGTTGGTACCCTATGTTCCCATGCGGCACAGGCTTCCTCTCTCACCTGTCATCATGCATCACTGGACTTCTTTATTTGCCTATAGGCCTCGCTTTGAGGGCAATGATGCTCTTTCTTCTTTGCATGCCAAACTGGCTTGAGACACTCTGTACCTAACAATAGTTCTTGTTTCTATAGCCCCCCGTCTTGAGTGTCACTTTTGCTTATTCAACCAGCTATCAATAACTGAAAAACAAGTATTCCATATTACACACTTTGATGAAGACTTCTGTCTGTGCCTTTTGGGCCACACATGTTAGTGGCGTATAGTGTCTACTCCTAGCTCAGTGCTTAGGGGGATACTCCTGATAGTACTTGGGGAACCAGGGGCATGAAACCTGGACTTCCTGCATGTGAAGCTATCCTTTGAGCTCTATCCCCATGGCCACATACCCTTTGAGCTATTTCCCCAGGAGCACATGAAAAATGTTATGAAACAACCTGAACACTCCCTTTAAATACGCAGGAGACCTAGGTGGCTCAGAGCCAGATCAGGACTTCTGAAAATGGAGGGCTCACCTAGAGGAGCTACTGAGGAGGCCTCATTTGTTTGCTAGCAGCTACTGGATAAACACTTATTATGTACTTCAGTCTGATGCTATGATTGTTGGATGTTTTCCCTGGTGATGGAAGAGGACAATTTGTTATGAGACTGATAGAGGGATTTGGAAGCTGAAAGAAAGGTTAGTGTAGTGCAGAGAACCGTCACACACCCCCGTACGATACCTGAGGTTAAACCTATCAGATGCTTTGGACACAGGACAGCAGAAAGGGGCCCTGCATGAAGAGGAGCAGGTAGGCCTAGATGCAGGGTACCCAGAACCCTGTGGGCTGTGTCATATCATGATTTATGGAGAGTAGGCTCTATTGCTAATGGTTGTCGGGTACACCCAGGGTCCTTTTTTTTTATTCTGACCCTACTCGTGACCTCTGGAAGTAGCACTGAAAGACTTAGCAGAAGCATGCTGAAAGTAGACTATAGACCAAATATGATTGCCACTCAATGCCTCTTTTGCAAACCACAACACCCAAAAGGAGAGAGAGAACAAAAGGGAATGCTCTGCCACAGAGGCAGGGTGGGGTGGGGGGGTTGGGGGGTGGGAGAGATACTGGGATCCATGGTGGTGGGAAATGGGCACTGATGGAGGGATGGGTATTTGATCACTGTATAATTGAAACCCAAGCACAAAAATTTGTAACTCTACAACTGTACCTCATGGTGTCTCACTAATAAAAATTAAAAAAAAAAAAAAATAAAGACATAGCAAGGCCTGCAGAAGAGCCTCATGGGGTTCAAGGCAGACAGGGGTGGATGACCTCTGATTCCAAACATCAAGTACCTTTCACATCAAAAGTGTCTTAGCTGTGGAAGAATAATCACTCTGAGATTTAGAAGCTGGGGGCTGGTGAGGTTTACTCAGTAGCTGGTGTGCAGAGCATACATAATTGCATCACTTGGTGTCTCAGAGAATCATGAACCGTCAAGGGCAATGATAAATATTTAGTAGTTTTATTTACTTATTTATTTTTGTTTAGTGTTAGGGCCACACCCAGTGATGTTCAGGGCTTACTCCTGGCTCTGTGCTCTGGGATCACTCCTGGCATGAACCAGGGAACCATTAGGAGGTGCTGGGGATGGAACTAGGGTGGGAAATGTGCAAGGCAAGTGCCCTACCTGTTGCACTATCATTTTAGCCCCAGAACTTGGCATTTCAAGCTGTAAAAGGCAGGAGCTGGGGCTGGAGCGATAGCACAGCAGGTAGGCGTTTGCCTTGCATACGGCCAACCCGGGTTCAATCCCCAACATCCCATATGGTCTCCTAAGCACTGCCAGGAGTAATTCCTGGGTACAGAGCCAGGAGTAACCCCTGAGCACTGCTGGGAGTGACCCAAAAAGAAAAAAAAAGGCAGGAGCCTCTTTTATGACAATTTCTTATTGATCATTTTCCACACTCTTAGGGATGATTTCTATATTGCCATGGCTACAAACTGAGCACAGGGAGGACATACCCCTTTCAAGATGTATGGCATCATAAGACCTGTGAGAAAGTGAGTGCATCCTCTGATAATGTTTTCCAGCAGTATATCCATTTTGGCCATACGTAAACAAGTATCATGGACAACAGCAGGCAATTTAAAACAGTACTTCAAAGGAAGAGGGGCCAGGGTGACAGCACAGTGGGTAGGGCATTTGCTTGGCACATGGCTGACCTGGGTTTGATTTCCGGCATCCCATATGGTCCCCCAAGCACTGCAAGGAGTAATTCCTGAGTGCAAAGTCAGGAGTAGCTCCTGAGCATTGGCTGGGTATGACCCCAAAAAAGAGAAAGAAAAAACAACAAAGAGCCATGAAGAAAACAGAATCTCTAAATATGGGAATTTAGTGGAGGAACAAGAGACGTGGATGAAATGAAGGAAAGTATGAGGCCCTTTAAGAATCCTGTCATCAACAATTAAGCAAACATACTCAGAAGGCATGGAGAAAGGCCAACACAGGTTCAGGATTTAAAAAATATAAACCACAGGAAATTTAATCCCCCAGTGATATTAAATATTATGGAACTCTGAAATTAGATTGTGAAATTTCTAATGTGGTAAAACAAACTTAACAGGACGTTTTCACACTCTAAGAACAGCGTTCATTGCTTTGTAACAATTTTAAATTGCATTTGAGCACAGTTAGTGATCAATACAAATAGTACATACAGTTTGCACAGTTTCTCTAATAATGGCAGCCTATGACATTACCTTACAGATATTCCCAGTAACAGAACAGAAACTGAAACAGCATATGCAAAATGAAGAGAAGGCACTGGAGCAAAGAACCATAGGACAATAGTTGTCTTTCATCTCACCAAATTAGAACAAAGAGGTGATAAGGACCCAACCTAGTTCCAATCTCTTTACCCTGAAAACTCAGAGATTTCTGCCAGGCAGTGAATTATGTGTGACGGAGTAAACAGAATGGAAGCTCAGCTCAATCTCCTTGTAGGCCTGGAGACTTTGCAAAATAACAAAAGTCAAGTCTCCTTTGAGTGTACCAAATATAAACCATCTTGAGAACAGAAGTAAAGCTCCAGAGAGTTTGGCGGGATTGTCATGGTGATATATATCCTGTTCCACAAGAGACAATATGTAATTTCGTCTTCTTCTTTTTTAATTGAATCACCATGAGATACAATTACAAAGTTGTTCATGATTGGGTTTCAGTTATACAATGTTCCAACACCTGTCCTTCCCCAGTGTACATTTCCCACCACCAATGTCCCCAGTTTTCCTCCTGCCTCCTCTCTCTCATTTTTGTGCATTGTGATTTGCAATACAGGCACTGGAGGTCATCAGAGACACGCCATGTGTGTTCTCTGTTCTGAAAGTCTCTGGTCCAATAAGGAGAGGCAAATGAAGCCCTCTCCATGATTCGGTCTGAGGAGTAATTTAAGGAATTACTTCAAGATATTAGGTTATCTATTCTCATTTTCTTAAAATAGCTAGCAATTGCTGACTAGATGACGCTGAGATCAAGATAAAATAAACATTATTATATTTGTCAAAGTACTTCAATTTTGTTGTAGGAGCATATCAGGGGGTTGAATCCCATAGAATTTTATTTTTAATAAACATACATGTGAATAAAATAGTATGTCAGGCTCAAAGATGCAGTGGCCGGCCATATTTTCAGTTAACTTCCTTGCCTTAGAACTAAATATAGTGAGACAAATCAATGATAATATAAATAAAAAAAAATCTAAGCAATGACAGAGATCTTATGATTCTCATAAACGAAACACTGAGATGCTGCACCCTAGAGGCCATTCTTGAAGAAAATGTGGAGAGACCGGGGAAACCTGACAATTAAACTTATAAACTGCACAGAACAGGCTTTCCCATATGCATATGTCCCAAGTACAGTAGGAATGGCTCATTTGGAAGTATCTGCTTCTCAAGCATTCAAAACCACACTGAAACAAAAGACAGACAGCATTCAAACGAAGAAACGTAATTTGAAATAAACCCATCAAATATGGTCTGGGTGATCCAGAGCGACACCCTGATGTGTCGAGCCTCAAATTCATGCTTTATCAAATGGGGATCGAGACACCTGCTTACAGGTGGTGGTGAAGGCTAAAGGAGACAATCAATGGGAGCAAGAATCCAGGGGTGCTAATCAAAGACTGGAACAGCCCTGACACCACCAGCTTATCACACAGCAAGGACACACAGCCTAGACAGTCTTACTCTAACCTAGCTTCAAGAGAGCAGCCTTGTCTCAATCTTAGCTGTTACCAAGGCAAAGCTGAATCCCATGTTGCTTCCATCCCACTTACTCGGGAGGAGATGACAAACTAAAGGGTCAAGTTGCTACTCTCTGCCGAGTGGTGAATCCCGCCATGGTTAAACAGATGATGCAGCGGTGGGACAGTCAAGGTGCTCACAATAGAGCAGAGCAGATGCCAGGTAAATAGCTCGTAATAAGAGAGCATGGTACGTAGTCCAAATGAAATATCACTGGAGCAAGGAGAGGACTATTTTGCTTAATACTTTAATATATTTTTTTTCTTTTTTGAGGGGTGCCACATCTGGTGCCAAGGACAGAACCCAGGTGAGCTGTGTGCAAAGCAAGTGCCCTGCCTATTGTTGCTCTAACCTCAAAAATATTTTAATATTTTACAGACCTTACAAGATTGATATAATTACCTAACATATTTAATATATAAATATTTCACAGAAGAACATTCTTATTCTGGTGGCTGGAAGACTTCTTTGAACGGATGAAATACTTTGAATTCAAATCAGAAAACACTTATCCAGTCCCTCAATCAGAAAACAATTCATTAAATGTGCATTCATAATGAGAATATTTTCCTTGAGTGATTACAATGAGGATGCAAAGAACCATATTTATAATTTTTGACTATGTTTATCTACTACGTGGGTAGAAATGTGAACCCAATTAATCAATTTAGTGCCATTATCCTAATGCTTACATCGGAGACATTGTCAGGTCAGTGCAGCAGCAGCAGGCTATAATTACGTGTACCTACCTTAGAATCTCTGGATACACACACACACACACACACAGATACCAAGTGGAGAGTGCGGGTACAGTCATATTATAGAATCCAAGAGTACAGAGGTCAAGATGGAGGCGTCTGAATTTCTATTGTGTTTACCATAGAGAATAAAAACCGTGGTTGTGTACTCATCAGAATGATGATCCAAGCAGTCAGTATCAAAGTGGCTGGCTAGCAGATGTGTGCAAAACTCATACACTACAACTGGCCTGGTTCCAAGACAACATGGACTACCATGACCCCATGGGACGTAAGCTCCAGTTAGACATAAAAGCGCATCTGAAGGAATTAAGAATTGGCAATACTCTGGCATACCACACTTTAGAGCCTGCAACGAAGAGCAAACTATCTCCGAGCCTCTTCGAAAAGCACTGCTTTCTTCATATGATCTGTTACGAATGAATGACAGGTTTTTCACCCATAACTTAAGAGTATTGCTATATAAAGAATTTGGATAAAGAGAAACATCCCTGGGAAGATCACTTGAACCATCCACTCACCTCTGCAGGAAGCATGTGCTTGGTATTATATAAGGAACGGCAGATTTTCAAAACTTCATCGCCCAGTCTTTCCTTCTTCTCCACTGCACACCTGGTTAGCATTGCTGTAGTGAGTCTGACCCATGGATTATGGGTTATGCTGGTTCTAAGGGCAAAAAATGCAAGGTATTGGACGTGACGAAAGCCGCAACAATTGTGTTAGGACATTTCACAATGGCAAAGAAATCCCACTTTTGAGAGTAAAATGTTTCTGGTAAACTGCTACCAGGATCTAGATGATCCACCTTCCAGGCCACCTCACACAAAAGATGAGCTCTTAGAAGGAAACACAATTGGCTGTTGTCTCTACAAGGAGATGCAGAGACACAACAGGCGGGAGTGCCTGGGAAGCCAGGAAGCCACAGCTGCTGGGGTTCAACTCTGGCTTCTGACTGACTCCAGGGCTCAGATCAGTTACTTTACATCCATCCTAGGTGCAAGGGCATAGAGAAGCACATAGCCTTCCTGGGTCTCGGGGTTTTTGTTGGCTGTTTTCATGGGAAAAAGGCATTTTCCTGTTTTCCTTGCGAGGTTGCGCTCTTTAATGACTGTTTGCAACTGTGATGCATTCCCGATAACAGCAGGCACGTCTTACTATCAACTCTGAGCTCTGGCTGTTGTTGACAATGTGGTTATGATCTGGTGATGAGGGGGTTTGGAGACTCAGGGTAGGAAAAAGTGCCCGAAGGTTCGGGGAGTTTGGGAGCCCAGTGAGGAGGGCACGCATGCGCAGTTAGGAGAGAGCCTGTTGTGCTCATTGACTTGTCTTTGGGAAGTACACCAACACACCAACGTCTGCCTTTTCTTTCCGTTCTCTGCTGCCACTAACCTGAGCATCATAAAAACATCACCCTTTTCATTTCAAGAGACTTGGTCCTGGGCCTTCAAGCAATTTAAAATTACCTGATTTATTCAGAGCCTTTGGGCCCATGAGCATAGCTCCAGATTCCAGCCACTGATCAATTAAGGATGCTTCTTCCCCGGAAAGAATTCAAATCCTTACCCCCCGCCATCCCCACCCCACATACACACACACTGAACAACAATGCAAGGTGACTCATAACACTAGGCTTTTCAAGAGACTTTGTGTCTCAGTTGAAGTGAACAATGGGTGAGGACAAAGAAGACTACTGATTTCAATATATAAGCAGGTTCTGAGTGTGTGTGTGTGTGTGTGTGTGTGTGTGTGTGTATGTATGTGTGTGTGTGTGTGTGTGTGTGTGTGTGTTTGGGGGGGAGGGTCTGCCTACACCTGAGGTTCATTTGCTGCTTTCCACTTCAAAGTCTCAATCTGCCTTCCTGGGCACCAGATCAGCCCAAATGGACAATGCTGGCTTTGACAAGGAACTGGATGTATTTTTCAATGGCCAGATGTGATAACACTGGATAAAAATGATGGCTCTTCCATAAGCACAAATCTGTTATATTTTCTATGAATTTTCCCACAAAGAATTAAAAAACCCAAGTGGATACTGGTCAAGTTATACTACTAAATTAGCAGTTAAGTAGGCCAAGCAATTTTTTTTTTTTGGTTTTTAGTTTGCTGATCAGCAAAATTAATAGAACATTTTCATCCTTGTTTTCATTTCCCTTCTCTGGGTGCTCTCTCTCTCTCTCTCTCTCTGTCTCTCTCTCTCTCTCTCTCTTTCTCTCTCTCTCTCACACACACACATATACACATTTTGGAAATGCTGAAGGCACAAACTGGTACCAGAAGTGTACTCTGGACATAGAGATAAGTCAGTAATAATGTGCCTGTCTGGCAGGCATAAGGACAAGAGTTTGACACCTAGGAATACCCCCTCATGCTAAATGTAATCCCAGGGGAACAACCACTTGTAATCCTGGCACCACAACGGTGTGCACTCTCCCGTGACCCACACCAACCAGCAGTACAAGCACCACAACATGGATGCAGTCCTATGAGCATCTCGACCACCAAGTGTGCAAACCCCACAAGCAAGTGTGTCTGGTCATGGCAGCAACATCAACAGCAAACAAGTTCAGCGGGGAAGAGCGAAAACATACTTTTTAAGAACCTGTTGATTTTTTAAATGATTTTTTTTCTTTCCAGCACAACTATTTTGCTTGCCTGGCCTCTAACCAGCTGCTCCCCTCCCCACCCCCGCTATAAAATAGTTGTCTGGTCAAACCTCCCAGGAAACTCATCAGTTCAACATTTTTCCGGAAGCCCTCCCTCCTGTTGGCTCCTGCAAACTCCAGGGTGTTTTGGCAGGGCTCCCATGCCTTCCTGAGTGCCGTCCATTGATCTCTTCTCGCTTTGGTTCCTTCCCCCACTCCCCCTTTTACTTTCGTTGTTTTTTCTTGGACAATACCCTATGGTAGTTTTCTGAAAAAGTGTATGTAAAAGAGGGGAATTTCTGAGTGCTGGCTTAAAGCTATTTCTCAAGTATTCCATCACACAGTCCCTGGTGATAAAGAGCATTTTGAGAAGCCAGAAAAGGACATAAAAGGACATTGTTGGCTTGTCCTCGGGGCCTCAGTCCAGGAGGTATGGCTAGAAAGACGGACTGCTTTGTTCTGAATCCCGTGATTTCACCCAACAGGTCAGACTTTTCATCAGACTTCGTTTCATATGGGATTTTATGAAATAATATATTTTTAAAATGAGGATTTGTCTACAAATACACGAAATGTTCTAAATGCAATAAATATTTAAAGTGAAGTTGATTTTGCTTCTTGTGAGTAATCTGAAAAGGTGTTTTAAAGGTACAAGGAACTATAACGCCACAAAAACTAATCTACCGGAGACACCATATTTTGATTTCAGAAATAGACTTCAGACTGAGATTCACTTTGGGGGTATAAAGAAATCTATAATCAGCTCTAATGGCTTCCTAAAAAAAAAAATAATGCATTACTGATGAGCAAATTAGCGGGTTCCAGAACTACTCTGCTGTATTACTTTTTAGTAGTTTAAAAACTGACTCCCAGCCCCGAGCATAGAGTTGGACTCAGTAAATCAAGTGTGAGATGATTTCTTATAAAATCGCCCCCCACAGCCTGATGCAACTGTGCCTGTGGAAACACCCTCTCAGTGGGTTGTCACAAGAAAAATGGGAAGTTGTAAAATGTAAGACTTGTATCCCATAATGAAGATTTAAGAACCTACTTTTAAAAACCACATGTGGGGAGCCAGAGTGATAGAAGGTCGAGTGTTTATCTTGTGCCCGACTGACCTAAGTTCATCCCCCCGTATCCCATAAGGTCCCCTGAGCCCTGCCAGGAGTAATTTCTGAGTGCAGAGCCAGGAGTAACCCCTGAGCATCACTGGGTGTGACTCAAAAAGCCAAAAACAAAACAAAACAAAACAATAAAACCAAAAACCAACCAAACAAAAAAGCACCACAGGTGAAGGCTGGGGAGCTAGCCCAGTTGGGTTATGTAGGGAGCCTGCTTTGCATGTAGGAGGCCCAGGTGTGATCCCTGGCACAGAGTCCCTGAGCAACTCTGCATGTGACTCCTGAGCGCAAAGCTGGGAGTTGCCCCTAAGCACCACAAAGTGTGATCTAGCTTCCACCCCCCATTCCAAAAGAAAAAAAGAGAAAAAATCTATGTGTGAGCACGCCACCTCTGCTCGCCTAAACAGTCATCTAAGACTTTTTTTTTCCCTTTCTGGAAACACCTGGTTAAAAGACAAAACCAACCAAACTGGCTCTCCTCGGTTTGCTCAAGACTTTCCCCGAAGTGTCTTAGCACACATCTACCTGGCGCTCAGGGTCGTGTACTTCCAGGGAACTGGCCTTTAATTTCTAAGGGGTTCAGAGTGGCAAAGTGTTTGTCAAACGTGGGGAGCACCAGATGAGCCCTGCAGGAAGCAGACATTTGGAGCAAAGGTTTGGGGTGCTGAATTTTTTTTTTAAATTTTGCCAGCAAGGAACAGCAGTCCATGACAGATGGCATATGTGTTCAGAGGAAATCTGGCCAGTCTTCCCGAAGGAATCCTTGGCTTGTGTGCCAACTCCATGGAGCTAAGAGTGGCAGCTGCATGCTCAGCATGGCAGAGAAAACCAGGGGGGTGAAGGGAGCAAGAGTAGGATTCTATCTCCTCCACGAATCAGCCACATGATGCCTGAAGGTATCGAACTTCTGAGCTCCAGGTACCCATGTAGAAGATTAAACAACACTGCCGGCCTTTGTAGGATGGTTGTGTGAATTGCTAATTGACAACATAATGTGAAAAAAAAACACAACATTTTATATGGCTAATAAGTAGAAGTATCCACTCATTGCACATTCATTCTTAAAACCACAATCTATGTTAAAATACTCCATTCAAATACTCCAAAGAGGGGCTGGAGTGATAGCACAGCCAGTAGAACATTTTCCTTGCATGTGGCCAACCCGGTTCGATTCCCAGCATCCCATATGGTCACCCAAGGACCACCAGGAGTAATTCCTGAGTGTGGAGCCAGGAGTAACTTCTGTGCATCACTGGGTGTGAGCCCAAAAGCAATACACAAATAAATAAATAAATAAATAAATAAAATAAAAATAAAATACTCCAAAGCCTCTTTCCCTGCTTTTTGTTGTTACAGTTTTTTTGTTGAAGTACTATTGCAGTGACTAGGAGTCACACAAACTTGGCTTCTCCTCACACACTTCCTTGTGGTGCTTGAGAGGGGCGACACTCATTAATTGTGGTGCCGCTGCAGATTTTAGCTACAGTGCTTGTTGGGAGATGCACACTCGATTGTGGGGCGCACACATTGTATTGCCATGTTAGCTGTGAGTCACACACCATGTCATGGCGTGCTCCCATGCAATCTACCACAGAAAACACACTATATTATGGCGTCTGGAACCCAAGCGGCAATGCCTCTGGCACATGGAGGGAGGTGCTGGAGATCAGACAGCAAGGTCTCACCCTGGTAAGGTAGGAGCACTGACACTAAGCCATCTCTGTGCCTGACAGAGTACAAATGTTCCTGGGGAAAATACGAATTATCCATAGCACAGTAGGTAGGGCGTTTGCCTTTCACGCGGCAGACCAGAGTTCGATTCCCAGCATCCCATATGGTCTCCTGAGCACTGCCAGAAGTAATTCCTGAGCGCAGAACCAGGAGTAACCTCTGTGCATCGCCGGGCGTGATCCCCCCCCCAAAAAAAAAACCCCCACGAATTATCTTGTTGACAGCATAAGTCAGATGGCAATCTTAAAGGCTGTCTTCTCATTCTAAGTAAAGTATTTGGGTTTAGGGACGAGGAGAAATGGAAAGTATAGCTTTAAAAGATGTTATTTTAATTTCTTCTAAATACTAATATTAATTTTATGTATTGCTTTCATCAGCTCTTTTTACAGTAATGATTTTCTAAAAATAAGGTCTCCACAAAAGAAACCCAGTCAGGCTAAACTTATGTTAACACTTACACATAGTCCTGCTTCATTGGTGGCCACGCTTGTAAGAGCAAAACCAAGTGCTGAAATTCGGCTTCCTCATGACTGGATTCCAGGAGGTCCACGAAGAGAGAGTATCGGTTCTCTTCATCTTCAATGTCAGCCACGTCAACCTGAAAGTGGAATTATGAGATTGGAACTGGTGGCGAAGTCCTCGTAATTGGTTGTTAAAGGAATTAAATTGACTTTTGATTACTCTCAACGAAATTTGTACCACATTCTGAGGCAACTTTTGTTTAACATGTTCCCTTCTCCAAAGAAAACCCTTAAAAGGTCTATGACTGACCTGATGTCAACATTCATGTTCAAAAACTGAACAAATCTCAGGATGGTTTGTAATATTCTGTATTCTTTACTGCTATAAATTCAAACAAACAAAACTGGCTTGCTTGCATTTTAAGATGTTGTAACTAATGATTTTAATAGATAAAATAGTTTACCATAATCAACACAACTTTCTAAGAAGTTTAAATTATCCTTAATGTATTTCTAGTGGGCTGGAGCGATAGCACAGTGGTAGGGCATTTGCCTTGCACGCAGCCAACATGGCTGACCCGAGTTCGATTCCTCCACCCCTCTCGGAGAGCCCGGCAAGCTACCGAGAGTATCTTGCCCGCACGGCAGAGCCTGGCAAGCTACCCGTGACGAATTCGATATGCCAAACACAGTAACAACAAAGTCTCCAATGGAGATGTTACTGGGCCCGCTCGAGCAAATCGATGAACAACGGGAGGACAGTGATATATATATGGTATATATATATTTCTAGTACCTGTTCTAGCATTTTTGTTACCAAATCTTTGTGCTATTTGGGAAATTTCTCTAATTTGAAATAAAAAATGTTTCATAAGTCTATTCATCATGTTTTATTAGAAATCAAACAAAATATCCTTCACTCGCATCTCTATTTTACTGGGTGGCCTCCCAAGTGGCGATCAGGGGTGATGTGGTGATTCTTGACCACCGGAGATATCCTAGTGGACTTCAGGGCACTCCAAGGCCAAACTCAGAACAGACTTCGGGGTTCCAGCACAAAGTGCCAGTGATATTCCGTAGCAGGCCACAGGATGCTGGGGACCAAACCAAGGACAGGCACCTTCCCTATGTGCTAACCCAGGCTTCTCACTTCTCCATTTCTAATGCAAAAGAAATCTCAGCCAAACAAACAAAACAGTCATTTGCTTTTCACTGAAAAGCAATTTTTTTTTTAGCTCTGAGCCAGTCTGAAAACAAACCATATATCCAATATCTCCATTTAAATTAAAAAGCATTTTTACATAGAAAAGCAAAATGAGGGGCTGGAGCCAGAGTACAGTGGGTGACGTCATTTGCCTTGCATGCATCTAACCTGGTTTCAATTCCTGGCATCACTGATGATCCCCCGAGCCCTACTAGGAGTGATCCCTGGACACAGGGCCAGGAGTAAGACCCGAGGACTGAGGGGGGTTGCCCCAAGGCAAAAAGAAAACTGAAATGCTACTCAAATGCTCTGTGTTTAGGCATGTTAGACTCAGAAATGATTCACTGGAAGAATGACAGAAATGGATGGTTATCTACATATTTGCTACATACAAATGCATGTTTCCAAAATATTTTCATTTCATTTTCATAGGGACCATTTTGGCTCTCATCCCATGAAGCTATCTGAAAAAGTCACCTCTATGATTCCAGAGCTGATGTGCTCTCTGCAATTATTGATAATTACTCTGGGAAGCTGTGCTCACACAGTGATGAGATCTTTCAAATCCTGCTTTCAAGCCTCCTGTCATTCTTTATGGAATAACAACGCCAAAGCATTTTATAGTTTTGAAATAATTTCATAAGCCCATAAGCCACTTGACCATTATAATAGTCTCGCGTGGAGGACTTCCAAGGTCTTATTAACTTCACTTTCAGGAGGAAAAATAAATGGGTTTGTCTGTGCTAGTAACAAAGCAACCAAGGGGGCAAAGCCAACATATAATTATAATCAGATCAGAATGTACAGGAACTGGAGGATTCAATAAAATAAATGAACTCCTTTTCTTTAAATTGGAGATCTAACTGAGTAGCCGGAACTATTTTCTTGATGATTTATAAATATTTTTTTAAAAGTCTCAAGCTGAAGATACCTATCTGCTATTACCTGAACTCACCACCTTACATTCCTCTCTTGCCTGGAGTGTCTTAAGCACTCTGGGCTTTCACTATGCACACTTCTACCAAGGGACTCCAATGCTTCCTGTCCCTGGCAAATCCCTTTTTCATATTTCTGCCTGGTTTATTCGCCAACTTCCTTCAAACTTCTTAAATGTCACCTTACTAGAGAATTACTGTCGGTCTGCCCTACCGAAAGCAACATTTCTCCACATAGTCCCCGATGTGTACTAATTTCTTCCTTACCATCTTCAAGTCTATGACACATTCTATATTTATTTACTCCCTTTCTTCTTTCAAAAAATGCAAGTTCTGTTGGACCACAGAGATAGTTCAGGGGTAAAACTAAAAACCAGAGAATACAAGTTTTTCAAAAAGAGTGACTTTGATTTGTTCAGTGGTTTATACTTAAAATAATGCCTTGATGTTAAGTAGGTATGCAGTATTTACATGAGTGAGTAAACTAGACTAAACTAATGGATGGGCACACACATAATAACATACTTTATTACATATCTTAGCACAAAATGCTATTAACTATCCTCAGAGTTGCCGGAAATTATTGGCTAGCTTCATATATATATATATATATATACACACACATACATACATACATATATATACATATATACATACACACACACACATCAGTGTTTCCAAAGGGGTGACACCACTCCCTAGGTAAGGGAGGCGGATTAAAGTGGGACACACTTTCTGTTTGTTTAATTAGAGTGGGGAGGGACATCGAGTCTTTTTATTTTGAGAAGTGGACTGCAGGCCAAACAAGTTTGGGAATCTCGTTAAAGACGCTGGAATTTAAATGGGGATGCCCTCAGGAAGGGACCTGCTGTTACAGGCCTTTAATGGGCATGTATACTGACACTGCCCATCGGCCAGGGTGCCTAATGAGTTCTGGTGACTTTGGCAGTGATCACCTCTTTCAGTCACCTTTTCCTTGCTTGAAAAATGGGCTCCAAAAATGCCTGCAGCCTCAGAAGTCTGAGGAATTGCCCAAGAGAGGGGACTCTGGTAAATGAGCTCTCTTTCCTGAGTTATAATGGAATTACTACAGAAGATATTTGAAGAAAAGGTTTGATGCTTAACTATTTTAAAATACTGAATGATTTATAGATACCAGTTATTTTTGCATGTATCATTATAAAAATCATTTTTAACATCCTCATAATAAGTTCTCTGTTAATTTTAGCATTTCTAGATACTTGGGTTTTTTTTTTAGTAAAGAGAGAGATATTAACAAATAATGGTAATTTGAATTTTTAAGGTTACTGTGCTGATTTCTGCTTCTATTCTTACTAGGATCTCCACAACAAGGATAAAATTATGAAAATGCAAACCCTTTTTTGTTCATAATTCTAATAGCAATGGCTCCAAATGTCAGTTAAAAGTCAGTGATGGGCTCTGAGAGATAGTATGGATGTTGACATGTTTGTCTTGCCTGTGGCTGACCTGGACTCATCCCCCTGCAGAGTCAGGAGTGTTTCTGAAAATAATGCCAGGACTAAACCCGGAGCATCACCACATGTAGTCCCCCAAATAATAACCACAACAAAAGGCACCCGAAGTTGAAAAAATACTCAAGTCGGTTATGATTAAGTCCTAGTGTCCAGCAAACAACATGGAATACAGCAAAGCATCAGTAACTGTATCTCGTAAGAACAGAACAGCAAAAAATAATGATGCTATCTATTCCCGTCATTTTTAATTTCCCCTCTTCCCTAGGTTGGCATCATTGCGAGATGATCCAAGATTGCACACATTCTGTCCGCCGAGCGAGCTGTGGGTCATATGCTCCAGTGCCGTGCTTGCACACGCCTGGCCGTGGTGTGCCAGGGATCACCAAGAGCCAACAGGGCTGCCAGACTCAGACAGCGGAACAACAGCTGAGCTTGAACTCTGGCACAGGCAGGCCTCGCCGGGAAGGGGACTGGGATGTTAGGCTCTCCAGCACGCAAGGTGCAGGGCAGGTACTTCCGGCCACCAAGCTATTTCTTGCCTTCCCATCTGCTTTACTTTCCAGAGGTAGGTTTTAATCCAAATATTTTCATACAACAGTAATAGTACACTAATGGTTGGCAGCATACAAGGCATGCATCCTACCCACTGTAGCTGTAAATTAATATGAATTCAAATTCCTTCCTACACATGGAAACAAGTCGCAGACCTCAGCATGAATCCAAGGAAAAAAATGAGTGTCTCTTTTTTCTAGAAAGTTGAATGGCCCGTAATAAATTCTGCATTTTCAATATATGATATATTTCATGAAGAAACTGATAATAAGTACTGAAAGAGCTATAACGTGAAATAACTATTGGACATATCTGAACATAGAAGAAAGTAGTTATAAATTAATTGCAAGTGATGAGCAAATGTCCAATGTACTCCACTAAGGAAACTATAAAATAAGTCACAAAGGAAGGTTAGACTAAATATGCTCCTTCAATATAGTGCTGATACAGTCAGCCTAACATAAAAAAAAATACTTATTCTGGAGCCACCACTAGACCTTCTCGAGGCTTAATTTCCGCTTCTCTGAGATGAAGATAACATATTTATGTGATGACTGTGAATATAAAGAGAACATGGAAAAGCCAGTGAAGAGACTAGCACATGATAAACGCACTAGAAGTGATAGAAATCATTTGTACTATCTTGACATCATATACTATACATAAGAACAGCAGAAAGCAGTGTGTGTGTTAGCTGGTAATAATATGCACACCTATCTGCAGGCCAGGCAGGACAAAATAAAAATGCAAAGAAATGCAGCTCATTTGCGGTAATGAAATTGAGGGTTAACTTTCATCTTTTTTTTTTTGAGATCTCATTCACTTATTAAAAAAAAACTAAGTCTTTGAAATAATTCTTCAACCATCCTTTTACAAATCAGTGAAAACAAATGAGAGGAACTTATATTTTTTTTCTTGTATTTTGTTTCATTTTGTCTTCTAGTGAGCAG